TTCCTTCCCTTCCTTCCCTTCCTTCCCTTCCTTCCTTCTTCCCTCTCTCCCTCCCTTCCTTCATTTCTTGTTTTTTCTTTCTTCATTCCTTCCTTCCTTCCTTTCTTTCTTTTTTGTATCTGTTCATTGGTCTCTCATTGTCTGTGCGTCTCCATTTTGGTTACTACAGTCAGTGCCTGAATGAGTGCACACTTTCCCCACCCCAGAGGGTTCTACTATGCATATGCACAGATCTCCTCAAAACTTTAAAGGAACAGTTTCCACTTAAAACCAAACACCAAAATAAAAGGGCCACAAGCAGCCCTGAACTGTTTATCACTAGAAAAAAAGCTAGAATGGCGGTTATGGATCAGAAGAGACATGGACTAAAAATAAAATCTGTGAAGCTGGGTGGAGACCTGGTTGGCCAGCAGTGTGGCAAGACTTGGGGATTCTTGGGCCCAGAGTCAGTGACACAGCCAAAGAGGATTAGAGTGGAGAGTGAAGCGTCCAGCCGATAAGAAGAGAGGGCATATGCATAAGAACATCCACACTTGCAGATAATACCTACTTGACCAGGCATCAATGACTGGATGATCAGAGCTCAACTAGAGGAAGAAAGAAGAGGATAAAAAGAGTAATCTGATGCCCAGGTGACATCAAGGCAAATGGTCAGGTCCTCTCAGAGCAAACCCCCTTCCAGAATAAGACTCAGTGGGAATACACACTCTGATTGGTGACCATGTTCATCACCGATAAGGGGAAGTGACAGAAAAACAGCAATGAAGTGGCAAGAGAAGTCCTACAATGTTCAATAGACTCCTGTGAACCTGGCTGGAGACCTGGTTGGCAAGCAGTGGCAAGACTTGGGGACTCTTGGGCCCAGAGTCAGTGACATAGCCACAAAGGACTAGAGTAGAGAGTGAAGTGTCCAGCTGATAAGAAGAGAGGGCATATGCACAAGAACACCCACACTTGCAGTTAATACCCACTTGACCTGGCTTCAATGACTGGATGATCAGAGCTCAACTAGAAGAAGAAAAATGAGGAAAAAAGAGTTATCTGATACAATTTGATGAACTTGACCTACACCTATGGATGCAGTAGCTCAAAAGAGGGAACAAATCTTTACAGCAAGGATCATTCCCACCCCCTCCATACACAGAGTAGACAGGGATGGGAAACGTGGACATTGACTACCCAAAATGGGGGTGGGGCGCTACTAAGGCAAGAAGTGACTGGCTCACAAGCTTGCAAGAGGGAGCCTAGATCCAGAGGGCTCAGAGGAAGGTAGAATCTCCACTGAGTAGTATCCAATCTGTCTGGGTGGAGTAGATGAAAGGAGATGCTGATGGGTCACTTGTGATACAATGGTGAATAATTGTTATCAGGACTGATTGTGAGGG